CTGCCTAAGGGAGGAGGAGGAGTGTGGAACATTTTCTGGGACTCTATTCAGGAGAGGCCAAGCCCCAGGGTAGGAGTTTCAAGAGAGGAGAGCCCTGGGGTCTCTGGGTTCCATCATATTCTCTCTTCCCTAGGACCACACGGTTTGCCTCATTCCCTGACTACCTGGTCATCCAGATCAAGAAGTTCACCTTCGGCTTAGACTGGGTGCCCAAGAAACTGGGTATGGTGGCTGGTATGAGGGTGGTGAAGGAGAAAATGCTAGAGAAAGAAAGAAGACCTTAGTACATATAAACTAGTATTTCTCAATGGGGAAAAAATTATCTTAGATATTTTAAAATGTATTTAGTTTGAAAAGTATTGACTAAAATTATTAAAAGACTAATTTGGGGCTGGGGGTGTAGCTCAGTGGTAGAGGACTTGCCTAGCATGCTTAAGGTCCTGGGTTCCATTCCTAGCACTGCACCAAAAAAAAAAAAAGTAGTTAGCTGAATATGGTAATATGGTAGTACACTCCTATAATCCCAGCAACTTGACTTGGGGAAGCTGAAGTGGGAGAATAACAAGTTTGAGGCTAACCTTGGCAACTTAGATTCTGTCTCAAAATTAAAAAATAAAAAGGGTTGGGTATATAGCTCAGTAGGAGAGTACCTATGAGTAATCCTTAGTACTGCGCTTGTGCGTGCACACACACACACACAACTTTGACTTCATAGTTATGATTTACAACTAAAAATTCTTTTTGGTTTTGGTCTTATAATTGATAAGATGTTTTCATTTTGATAATCTTGAAACAGTTAATTCTCATGACTCTTACAGGTCCCTTGCCATAACTTGAAGACTGCTGTTTTACCTTCAGTTTCTAGATAAAGAAGTTAAGACCCACAGCAGTACAGTCATTTTGTCTCATAAGCCAGAGCCCCTGCCTTGTCTTTAGTCAGAGTGGTAGATCTAGGACTAGAATCCAGCTCTCCCGACTCCTGGACTCACTAGTATTTATGTTACATTGCAATTCCAAAGTTGGTACTGCTTTTAGCAATCCCTTATTCCAGAGTAATTCCAGGATATGGGCAGAGGTTTGCAAGTACCAAAGTGCCTTTACAAGTGAGCCTCAAGGAGCTGCTGAGGTGGTCCTTTTCTTGCCCTTCTAATTGTAGATGTGTCCATTGAGATGCCAGAGGAGCTAGACATCTCCCAGTTGAGGGGTACAGGGCTGCAGCCAGGAGAGGAGGAGCTGCCTGACATTGCCCCACCCCTGGTCACTCCGGATGAGCCCAAAGGTAGCCTTGGTTTCTATGGCAACGAAGACGAAGACTCCTTCTGCTCCCCTCACTTCTCCTCTCCAACATGTTAGTGACTCTTCTTCCTGCCTGTCTCTCTACCTTGCTGATTGTTGGGGGACTTCTCTGCCTGCCTCCTCTGGCCCTGTCCTTTGTGTTTCTCCTGTCCTCCCTTTCATATTTTTTCTGCCCTCTTTGGATGGACATGGAAACTGGAGTACTCCCGGCCACATCCTCATTCATTGTGGATGGCAATAGCACTGATTGTTTTTCTACTCTTGTTACCTCCTTGGTTTTAGTAGGGTGGGGAAATCATGCTCCAGAAATGGTACCCATTCTATGAGAATGGGCAGGAAATCAATAGTCTTTGAGATACCAGGCCCACATTATATTGCATAGTCATTTTAGTTTTGGGATCAGGTACCAGTCCATGGAAGAAAAATACATGGAATGGTTGATTGGGAGAACACTAGGGGCCTGATGTGTGGGAGGGAAGAGGGGCAAATAGAAATAGTGGCCTAAGAAGTCAGGTTACTGAGCCCACCATTCCCCACTGCAGCACCCATGTTGGACGAATCGGTCATCATACAGTTGGTGGAAATGGGCTTTCCTATGGATGCCTGCCGCAAAGCTGTCTACTACACGGGCAATAGTGGGGCTGAGGCTGCCATGAACTGGGTCATGTCACACATGGATGATCCAGGTAGACCAGTGGGTACATGGTTGGGTGGCAGGGTAGGACCTCCATCCTCCCCCAGAAACTTCAACCCCTTCACATTCACAGATTTCGCAAACCCTCTCATCTTGCCTGGCTCCAGTGGGCCTGGCTCCACAAGTGCAGCAGCTGATCCCCCACCAGAGGACTGTGTGACCACCATTGTCTCTATGGGCTTCTCAAGGGACCAGGCCCTGAAAGCTCTGCGGGCCACGGTATGGACTGTTCTAGCTAAAAACTTGGAGTCTCTGTGGACAAAGTGGTGGGATTGAAGTTCATACTTGTCAAATAGGACCAAGGACAAGTGTAATGCAGCCAAGGCTGGGTGCCCTGGCTGCAAAGTAGGAACTAAGGCTTCCCCTCACTGTTGGTATCCTTGCCCCAGAACTTTTTAGGAAAAATAACACTTCCCTCCTCTCCAAGAACAACAGTTTAGAACGGGCTGTGGACTGGATCTTCAGTCACATTGATGACCTGGATGCAGAAGCTGCCATGGACATCTCGGAAGGCCGCTCAGCTGCTGACTCCATCTCTGAGTCTGTGCCAGTGGGACCCAAAGTCCGGGATGGTCCTGGAAGTGAGTATTCCCAGGAAACAGGACAAACCTTGGTGGAAACTAGCCACTCTGCTATACCAGGTTCCTCATTCTAAGGCAGCTCTGCTTTCCTTAGATCCAAGGGGTCAGAAGCTTCTTTCCACTAAAGAAACTGATGAGGGTGGGATTCCAGGAGGCTGAGATAGATTTTGGCCCAGGATACACCCCATATCCCCTAAAACTCCTGTCCTGAATTTGATCTGTTATATATATCTTTGGACTGTCAAGGGTCACGCTCCTATTTCTCTTCTGCCTTCTATCTTCTTCCTTAGAGTATCAGCTTTTTGCCTTCATTAGTCACATGGGCACCTCTACCATGTGTGGTCACTACGTCTGCCACATCAAGAAGGAAGGCAGGTGAGGGGCTGGCAGTGTGAATGGAGAAGTGGTGATGGGAATGAGGAAGGATAACCTGGAAATCCCTAGCATGTATATGGGAGAGGTAAAGGATTCCCTGAGGGGGCATGAATACACCTGAGATGGAGAAAATGTCTTTTGTCAGAGACAAGCAAACTGCAGCCCATGGGCTAAATCAGGCCACCTGCTTGTATAAATGAAGTTTAACTAGACATAGCTATGTGCTTTTTTATGTATTACTGCCTTTGGCCATTTTCATGTGGCAGCAGGAAAATTGAGTGGGTGTATCAGAGATTAGGTGATCTGCAGAACCAAAAATATTGACTGCCTGGCTTAGAGAAAGTTTTCTAACCCCCTGCCTCATAGGAATTGGGGTGAGGGTTAAAAGGAGACTAGAGGAGCTGAATATACCAAATAGAGGAAATGACCCTTGTTATGAAATTGGGAAGCTCCCTTCAGACTAGTAGCAGCTGGACAATAGATATGGAGATCCGGGCAGAGAATGTTGGGAGCCTTGCTCCAAGATTACCTCCAGATGCCATGGCTGAGAGATGAAGTTTTTGCAACTTGGAGTGCCCAGTTTGTTCATCCTATTCTGTCCCTTCTCTTACCCCATCAGATGGGTGATCTACAATGACCAGAAAGTGTGTGCCTCTGAGAAGCCACCCAAGGACCTGGGCTATATCTACTTCTACCAGAGAGTGACCAGCTAAAACCTGCTCTCACCCCTTACCACTGAGGGCAGGGGACAAACCACCTGGTATGAGGGACAGGGGCTGAGGGATGAACTTCAGCCCCCTGCTCTGTACCCTTTTTCTTTTTGTCCCCAGCAGCAGGGAAGAAGCTGGAGGCCATAGGAGAATGGCCAAGCAAAGCAGAGGGGCATTCGATAGACTTTGGGGATAGAGTGAGAAGGGGACAGGAGGGGGCTGACCACCTGTCTGTAAGGAGATTCTGTTGGCTTCCCCTGCCCCTTCAATTCACAGTGCTCTACTTCTGTGTAACCCTGCCCAGCCCCTGGTGTAGGGGTAGGGGTCTTATTTGTGTCTGCGAGTGGGTGTAGCTTTGTGCATCCTCTTCCAGGGGAGGGGAGCACCTGTGCTTCCCCTCCTATGTGTTTTCTCCTGTGTGGTTGGGCAAGGAGGGATATGAGGGAAATGGGGACCCCCCCTTGCCCTCCTGCCTCAGTCTTTCCCCCACCCTATCTCTTCTCTGTCCTCTGAAAAATGCCAAAATACACGATGTGAATAAAAATACAATGGCTAAACTGTCCTGTTTGTTACCTTGGGGGAGACTTATCTTGCTGGGGAAGATGATTGTCCAGGGGACCAGATTCAGAAACTCTCGCTCCTCCCCAGCTCCTAGACATTTTTCTACTTGTCACTAGCTTTAAAATTCTTGGAAAATTGAGTGTGAGGTGGGGAACTATAATAAAGTGACACACACACACAAAAAAAATGCAGAGCACAAAGGAAAAAAAGGGGCAAAGAGCCCTTCCTTATGGCAGTCACATAGGAAGAGGCCTAAGTATTTCCCCAGAAGTCTGAGGTGGCTACTGGACCTCTACAGTTCTATTCAGGCCTTGGCCAACTGAAGCAAAGAGTGGGACGCCCAGGGGTGAGGTGGGGGTATTAACTGGCTTCAGATTTCTGAAGTACCTCTTGTCTGCACAGCTGATGGATGATATGAGCTGATCCTCCTACTGAACCTAGTATTTGCCCAGTAATTGTGGGTTAGACCAAGGGTGTCTGCTTAGCCATCAGAGATGTAGTTAACTCTGATGGGGGAAGGGGGCTCTGAGAGACATTCCCTCAGCGCTCAGTCCTAGTGAGCGATCTGGTCTAAGGCCAGGTTGCTCAGCTAACCCCACTCTGAACCCTCTCTGGGGGGCTGAAGTTATGAAGAGAGTTTTCCTGAGCGCAGGGTCTCACAGTTTTCACTTCTACAAATCAGACAATTGAGACAAGAACGACTGATCCCTCGGACACCCCTAGAACGTTGCTACAAGAAAGGGGGGAACGTCAGAACTTTGCAACACTGGGCGGTCGGGGGACTGGGCTGGTGGGGAGGCCGCTTAGGCAGGGGGCCGGGCTAATCATGGCTGAGGGCGGGGAGGAGGCGGAGTTCTGCTTCACAGCGGTATATATAAGCGGGCAGTGGCCGCGGCTGCGCGCTGATACTGACCTTCAGTGTGCCGGCTCCAGCACCATGGCGCCCTCCAGGAAATTCTTCGTGGGGGGCAACTGGAAGATGAACGGGCGGAAGAAGTGTCTGGGGGAACTCATCTGTACCCTGAATGCGGCCAAGGTGCCCGCCGACACCGGTGAGCCCTCCTTGGGGACCGTTGGGACTGGTGGAGAGTGTCGGGCGTGGCAGCGCCCTCTCCCGAGCTCCCCGAGTCCTGGTAACCGCGTGGACCTGGATGCAGGGCTGAAGTACAAGGGTCGTTGCGTGTCTGAGAAGTGGCCCTGCAACTGCAGTACCGGAGATGTGTGGACGTGGAAAGAAGGGCATTTAATGGTGCTCTAGCCTGGTGGGGCGGGAAATGAATTATTGGGTCCCCGGGAGGAAGATGGCCCCTGGGCGTGGATTGGGTTTGCACCAGCCTTGAGCCAGGGTAGGAGCCGAGCCTGAGCCTCTGTGGGAGATCCGGAGAAGCGGGATACAGCACCGCCAGAGTGTGGGGGTGGAGGCTGAGCTTGCGCGGTCTCCCAGTTACCCGCGGCCTCCAACTACCTGCCCCTTCGGCAACCGGCTCCGTGCGCCTCTGCACGTAGCCCATGACTCCTCCCCAGCGCCCTGCCGGGCTGGGCTCGTGAGCGGTAGGCACTGGTCGCTTCTTGGCAGCCTGGGTGACTACTGCATTCCATGGAAGGGACTGGGTAGATGCCTAACAAGCTGAGCCATTTGTAAATGAGCGATCCTACAGCTTTCCCCAACCTGGAAACGAGAAAGCGCAAGGCCGCTATGAGCCGCTCAGCTCCCTGCCACCACAGGCAGAGTGCTATCCTCCATACTTCCCTTCCACCCACCTAAATCATCAGACCACAGATCTGATCAAAGGGACATCACCTTCTCGATTATTCCCTAAAGACGCCAAAACAAGCCCAAGAGTTGGCCCCCTCTTTTTTTTCTAGTGAGGATAAGCTATTTTAGAAAGGAGGTAGATTGGCCACCAGAGAATGCTGAGTCTGGGAGGTACTCATGCCCAGAATAACCCGAGGAAATTGGAGCCACAGCTGTTAAAAGAGCAGAGGGCAGGGTGAGGGCTGTAGCCTGGAAGGGATACTTGGAAGTCTCCAGGAGTTGGGTGCAAGCCTAGGCTGGGAAGTGGACAAAGGTCATCTTGCTGGGGTTAAAGGGGGAGGAAAGCAAAACCAAGAAAGTTGAAGGCTAGAGGGCTGCCAGACACTGGATAGGAAGTCTGGAGAATGAAGGCTTCCTTTGGTCTCATCTGGGTATGCCAACATCTCATCCTCAGAGGTGGTTTGTGCACCCCCCACTGCCTACATTGACTTCGCCCGGCAGAAACTAGATCCCAAGATTGCTGTGGCTGCGCAGAACTGCTACAAAGTGACTAATGGGGCCTTCACTGGGGAGATCAGGTGAGATGGAGATGGAGAGAGAAGTGGTGGGGAACCTTTCACTCACTTTTTTCATGGAGGGGAAAGGTACAGGGTGTGCTTCCTGCTAAACTTAAGCTTTCTCTCTTCCCTTAGCCCTGGCATGATCAAAGACTGTGGAGCTACGTGGGTAGTCCTGGGGCACTCGGAGAGGAGGCACGTCTTTGGGGAGTCAGATGAGGTTAGTAACCATGAGAAGAGATAAGAGATGCTTATTCCAAGAAGGGTGTCTCACCAAGTCTGTTCCTCAACAGCTGATTGGGCAGAAAGTGGCCCATGCCCTAGCAGAGGGACTCGGAGTGATCGCCTGCATTGGGGAGAAGCTAGATGAGAGGGAAGCTGGCATCACAGAGAAGGTTGTTTTCGAACAGACCAAGGTCATCGCAGGTATCTCTGGAGAAAGGGACCTTTGAACCTAGCCAGGGCCACAAATGGGGCGGAGAGGGGGTGGTGTCAGAAGCCCTGCAGACTGCCTTGATCCCCCATGCTGCAAAGAAAGGTGGAGTTCCTTTCAAGCTAATCACTTCTGCTCTTGCAGAATGTATAGATGCCACCAGGGGGCAGTAGGCCATCATCATTCTTCACATTCTGTGGAAATTGGCTGTATAGCTCCTTGTTCACCCTTCCCTCTGTGATTCTGTGTCCTGCAGATAATGTGAAGGACTGGAACAAGGTCGTCCTGGCCTATGAGCCTGTGTGGGCCATTGGTACTGGCAAGACTGCAACACCCCAACAGGTATCTGAGCCCTGGAGTCCTGCCTTCCCAAACCCTAAAACACAGTGACTTGTCCAAGGGCATCCATTCCAGGGCTTGGCTGGTTTTGGAGCCCTAGTATTCTGACTCAGATTCCAGGGCTCTTGCCTTGACACACTCTCTCTCCATTGGTGCCAGTGATTTCCTCTTTAAAAGGCAGAAAGGGTCTTTCTTAGACTGCCTTCTTGTTTTAGGCCCAGGAAGTACATGAGAAACTTCGGGGATGGCTCAAGTCCAACGTTTCTGATGCAGTGGCTCAGAGCACTCGCATTATTTATGGAGGTAAGTGGGTTTGGCTCTAGCTTGTGAAGCCTATCAAGTAGGCTGAGCCCACTACAGACATGGAGGTAGGGATGGAGTATATTCATCTCATCCCTGACAAAACCCTCTTTCTACCTCCTCCCCAGGTTCTGTGACTGGGGCAACCTGCAAAGAGCTAGCCAGCCAGCCTGATGTGGACGGCTTCCTCGTGGGTGGTGCTTCCCTCAAGCCCGAATTTGTGGACATCATCAATGCCAAACAATAAGCGCCATCGATCTGTTCTTCCCGCTAAGCCAGGGATTAGGTAGTCCAGAAGCCAAGTAACTGCCCTCACCCTTCACATGCTTCTGATGTTGTCATCTGCCTCCTCTCAAGACCTAATCCACTGTACCTTCCTTTACCATTTACACCTTTCCCCTGTGATGGTTGGAACCACCACTTACTATAATGGTTAGAACTAAACATGTCACCAAGGTGGCTTCTCCTCAACTGAGAGGTAGAAGGAATGGAGCTCGCTCATGGGTCCCCTCAGGCCCTGGTGAGAGCAAGAGAGAGAAACCATGTTCCTTTCCCTTCTCACACCAAGGCCAATATCCTCCCCTCAGAGGCCAGGGATGCTCCTTCTCCCATGGTGCCAATTCCTGTGTGTTGTGTATGTGAGCTTTCGCACATGTAAGGAAAATAAAACATCTGGCACTAAGTCTATGGTTTGTTCTCCTTCACTGTAAATCTTTTTCCTTTTTAAGGCCCTCTCCAGACCCCAAAATGGGCTTTTTGAGGTAGTCACAGACTACCCTTGTTTAAAAAGGCAAACAAAAAACCCCATTAACAGGTTTCTATAACACATCTCTTAGTATTTTTACTTTAAAAAAATGTCTTATATACCAGGCTGTCACAGCCTTAAAAATTCTCTGCCACACTGTTTTGGGTAGCACTGAGACTTGTGGAGCTCCCCAGAGCTTGAATTGGGGGAGGGACCCAACCTCACTGCTGGTCTAGGCCTGCAGTGGCTCCAGCACAGTCTGGTATCCCAGGTTCACTGGTAGAGCAGGTAGCGCTTCATGGATGGGGGCAAGGGCAGAGCAGACACCTGGCCCAGCCGGGTATCCCCCAGGGCGTGGCGTACACACAAGCGGCTCAGATGCAGAAGGGAGTGTGGTTCCGCTGGGAGAGAGAAGAAGGAGAAGGTAAATAGGGGTTCAGCCACCAGCCAGACATCTTCAAACTACAGGATCTTACCCAGCCTCCCTCCTTTCTTGCTGTACACCTGACTCCACCTTGGCTGAGGGAGATCTAAGGCATCACAATTGATTTCACAGCTGAGATTATCCTGAGAGAGCTGGACTGAAGCTCTAGCTAAAGCCCTCTAAGCAATAGGCCAATATGGGCCCATTAGTGGTGGAGGTGGCCCAGGCTTTGATTCAAGAGGGGCCTTGGAGGGGATGGAGATGTGGCTCAAGCAGTAACGCACTCGCCTGGCATGCGTGGGGTGCTGGGTTCGATCTCAGCACCACATAAAAATAAAGATGTTGTGTCCACTGAAAACTAAAAAATATTTAAAAAAGAAAAGAAGTGGGGCCTTGGAGCTAGGGTGAGGAAATGAAAGGAAGGATGGGCCTGCTCCACTGTGTGGCTCAGCATGGGTAACAAGAGGACAGGCACCAGCCCTCTGCTGAAGACTGCAACTTCAGAGCCAACTCCCAGTACGTGTCCCATTAGGTTCCCAAGGAGGCTCCTCCCTTGCAGCCCCACCCAAAGCCATGACCAGGGCCCCAAAGGCCCCATCCTGGGATTTGACAGGAAGAGGAAGTAGGTATGTGGCACATACAGGTCAGAGCCCAGGAAATCTGATACCCACTCTTGGTACCGGACACTGCCAGTACTTTTCTGGACCTGTAAACCCAGCCCAGGACCCATTTAACCCTTTGCCCATCTTGCTCAAGGGTTGATATCTCCCAAGAGCCTCCCTCCATTCTGAGGGTTCACCAAGAGAATATGAGCAAGTTGTTCCCAAGCCTCAGTTTTGCCTCCAAGTAAATTAGATAACAGCTTGAAGAACCTCAGCCATTCCTGGAACTGAATAAGGATAGGAGACAGGTCAAATGAAAGCCTCTGCTCTTGTCCAGCATTGAGGGTCCATTCCAAATCACTGCCACTAGTGACAATAGTTTTCTTCCCCACACCCCCGGCCTCACCTCTCCTTTCGCCCAGGTAGCGGATGCGGACCTGGCACTGGCCCCAAACAGCGCTTACAGCTGGGTAGAGGGTCCTGCCCTTCAGTCCGCGGAAGGCTGGCCCCAGATATGTGCCCCCAATAGCGTAGCCCAGAGTTCCCTCCTCCATGTCCAGAACCACCAGCAGCCTCTCTGGCACCTCCAGCTGCTCACCCTGAGGTCCCGCTGGATACTGGGGGGCCTCAGGCCCCTTACTCTGATGGTACAGCTTCCCCCGCCCAATGTCCCAGCCCCACGACTCGCTGTTGCTGCCCAGCAGCGCCGCATAGTGGTCTGCCTGCAGTGGGGCGAGGGCCGTGGCCACGCCCACTACCGCGTGTGTGCCCCTCTGTTCCGGGGGCCAGCTGATCTCCCAGGCGTGCAGGCCTCTGGAGTAGCCCCTCTTTCCCCGGACCCCATCAGTGCTCTGGGCCACGGGTCGCCGCTCAAAGCATAACCCCCCTTCTTTGACCTCGATGTTCTCTGAGCAGTCCTTGGGGTTCCAGCCATGGCGCCGCTGGGCCCCCAGGTCAGGAGGGGAAGCAGACAGGAGCTCTTCCAAGCCCTCGGGACAAGAAAGGTCAGGATACAGAGCCTGCGAGGTGGGGGTGCTGTTGCTGCCCCCTGCCAGGGCCGTCTGGCCCATGGAGGTGAGCAGCTGGAGGACGCCCCGAAACAGTCTTGCTGGGGCGTCTCTCTTCTCAAAGTTGAGTTCCAGATTGGGAATGACCTGGAGGGGAGTTGGGAGAGAAAGGGATATGAAGTGCGGTATTCTGGATGGGTGGTCCTCACCCGGACACCCCATCCTTTCACCACGCATGCCGACTGGCCGGCTTCTCTCTGCCGGCACCCCCAAAGCTCCAGGGCCCATCACCCTGCCTTCGCTCTGTGCTGGGTCGCCCAAGACACTCGAGTTTGCCCTCTCCGGACCTCACAGTAGGCTGTCCTTCTTGCCTACACAGAGTCCCCGACCCCGTCCCCACTACCGACCCTGACCCCGAACCTCGCTCGACTTCCCAACCGGGAAGTCGCGGGGCATCGGGATGAAACCAGCCAAAAGAAGCCCCGTTGCCTGGGAGCAGACAGCTGGCCGCTTCCGCCTTTGGACCCTACCACTGCGGGACACGCGGGCCTCGCGCCCCGCCCCCGGGGGGGGGGCCTCTGGGGCGGTTAACCCTCTCGTCGCCACCCACGTCACGCCCACCCACGTCACGCCCCCAGAGTACCTCACTGGGAGGTTAACACCAATTGGGTTGCTGTGGTAAAGGGCGCGCCCTGTTCCGGGTTCCCGTAGAGCACTCTCTGGGCGGTTAACCAACTTCTAGTCACCTGCCCGAGCCAAGACCCGCCCCAAGGCCTCGTCTTCGTGGGTAGGACGTGCAGAGCCGTTAACCCTTCCATCGCCGCCACAGAATCTGCCCTCAGGTGTCCCAGCTCAGAATTAATCCTTTGATGACATCATCACCTTGGGATCTCTGTGGAGGTGTTCTTCCCAATGAAGACCTTTGAGCCACCTGAGCCACCAACCAACTCCTGAGCCCAGAGTTTATGATACAGGGCATGGGGCCAAGGAAGGTCTTCCATCATGCCTGCATTGTTTCCATTTCCCTGCGATTCTGGGTCAGTCTTCCAGGGCTGCTCTCTTTCTGCCCCAAGTTGTGAGTCAAACTTGTGCTTTTATCTGAGGTTCTGAACTCTTTACGGACTCAAGGTTGTAGATGTCAAAATGGGTTTCATGCCGTTCTTCATCCGGATGCCAATCCCTTCCAGAGTTGTCCGTCTCATTGGGTAGAGGATAATTGCTACTTTTTTTTTTTTTCCAATATGTGGTCTTGTTATATTGCCCAGGCTGAAGGGATTCTCCTCCATTTCCAGAGTAGCTTGAATTACTGGCGCGCTGACACCTTATAGGTTTGCTTGTTTGTTTTAGTTGTAGATGGACACAATACTTTTGTTTGTTTGTTTAGTTATCTTTATGTGGTGCTTAGGATCAAAACCAGTGCCTCACACGTGCTTAGGCGAGCACTCAGCATTCCTGAGCCACAACCCAGCTCATTTTACTGGGTTTAAGACACTGATCTTAAGTTATAATCTAAGTAAAGCATTTAGCACAGAGCCTGGGGTGTGGTATGTACTCACTGAGCATAACTATTGGTTACTTAACACTTACTGAGTGCCCACTCTATACACAGGCAATAAAATAGAGCATGAAATATGCCAACTGTTGTCTAGTGTGGTGGCACAGGCCTATATTCCCAGCAGTTCCGGAGGCTGAGGCAGGAGGATCCTAAGTTCAAGGCCAGATTGGGCAATTTAGTAAGACCCTGTCTTAAAATAAAAAATGAGGGCTAGGCTTGTAGCTCAGTGGTAGAACACACCTGGGTTCAATCCTTTCCACCAAAAATGAAGTCAACTTTGGAGACAAACTGGGCATGAGTACCTGAAGGCCAATATGCATGCAACCTTGAGGAAATTACTTCACCTCCCTGTGCCTGTTTCTTTCTCTATGTCAGAGATAATAAGAGTATTTATTGCATAGATATAGTGAGGAGGCAATGAGCTGATATAAATGTAAAGCACTTAGAATGGTTTCTCTTTCAAACTTAATTATTTGTATTAAGCACTAGAGATTAAGCAATGAATCTTCCAAAAGGATACAAACTATTTGTAAAACAGTTTATCAGGTAATAAGTGAATTGATGGAGATATAAAGAAAGTAGGAGTAAAAAAGGACCCCAAGTAGGGGTCAAGCAGTTAGGAAAGTAAATGTTATCCTATAGGACAGGCCAGTAATGGAAAGCCACCTTAGGAGATAAGCAGGAGAAGAACATAGGGAGAAAAGGGTCTACTATGCTTAATTTCTGGTAACTGGGATTGAATCCAGGATCACTCTACCGCTGAGCTACATCCCCAGCCACCCCCACCCCTCATATATATATGCTTAGTTGTAGTTGGACACAATACCTTTATTTATTTATTTATTTTTATGTGTTGCTGAGGATCGAACCCAGTACCTCGCACATGCTAGATCCCCAGCGCTTTTTAATTTTTATTTTGAGACAGGGTTTTGTTAAGTTGCTGAGGCTAGCCTCAAACTGGTGATCCTTCTGTCTCAGACTTCTGAGTTGCTGGGATTACAGACAGATGAAGGAAAATTCAGTTTTGATTACTGTACTTAAAAGATTTTGGGGGCTCAAGGTTATTGACAACTTTGGTGAGAGAACATATATTGGGAAAGGAGGTGGAATTCCTGGGTAAAGTGGCTGGATTTTCACTTTCTGGGTGTCAAGAATTGTGCTACAGGGGTGGGGTTGTAGCTCAGTGGTAGAGCACTTGCCTAGCATGTGTGAGGCACTTGGTTCAATACTCAGCACCACATATAAATAAATAAAATAAAATCTATCAACAACAACAAAAAATATATTTAAAAAAAGAATTGTGCTACAGATTTCTCATTTGGAGGAGATAGAATAAAAAAGGATAAGGTAACAATTATGTCACCTAGTCAAAATTCCTTACTCTACTTGTTACGTACAGCATGTTTGTTTTGTGTAAAAATCAACATAGGGCCAGGTGCAGTGGCACATACCTGTTGTTACAGCAACTCAGAAGGCAGAGGAAGGAGAATTAGGAGTTGAAGGCCAGCCTTGGCAACTTATCAAGACTCTAAGCAATTAAGTGAAACCCTGTCCCAAAATAAAAAATAAAAGGACAGGGATGTGGCTCAGCAGTAAGTGCCCCTGGTTTCACTCTCCAATAAAAACAATAGCAACAAATCAATATATGGTAGTATGATGTACAGAATAAAAAAAAAAAATAGGGGGTATTTAACTCAGAGGCCCTTACCCAAATGAGCCACATCCCCAGCCCTTTTTTATTTTGAGATAGGGTCTCTCTAAGTTGCTAGGGCCTCCCTAAATTGTTAAGGCAGGTCTCTAACTTGCAATCCTTCAGCCTCAGCCTCCTGAGTCTCTGGGTTTACAGGTGTGCACCACTGCACCCAGTCCAGAATAAAATTTTATAATAAATTAATGTGCATGTACCACACACATACACACACACACACACACACACACACACACACACACACACACATTTTCTTGATGGAGATCCATTTCAAGCCCTCTTATGCAAATATTCTACCACTATGTTACACACCCAAGTGCACTAAAAGCAAAAATAAATGTGAATAAATGTAAAAAAAAAAAAGTTGCATCCTCAGCCCTTGAAATATTTTATATTACAGAGGAAGAAGAAGCATACTAAAAAGAAAGAAATGAATCTGAATGCTTGTCATCCACCCAATCTAGATATTCTTGCCAGTGTGTAACAATAACAATAAAGACATCATGACTATGGATAGTTTGTACATAAAGGCTTGGGAACACATAGGGAGCCTAAGCAATGGCTGGCTCTAGTTCAGCTTGAGAAGTTAACCACACTTGCTCAGCTGCTGCTACTTTTTAAAAATGTTGATCAAATGTTGCCACTGAATTTTAAGCTGCTCAAGTATTTGTTGATATAGCTCCAATATTTGATAATGCTACAAGTAATTTTAACTTTGTACTTTTTTGACTTGCAACAAATATAAACTAACTTTTTTTTTTTTTTTTTTCACCAGGGATTGAACTCAGGGGCACTTAACCACTGAACCACACCCCCAACCATTTCTGGTATTTTTTTTAGAGACAGGGTGTCACTGAGTTGCTTAGGGCCTCATTAAATTGCTGAGGCTGGCCTTGAACTTGCAATCTTCCTGCCTCAGCCTCCCAAACCGTTGGGATTACAGGCATGCATCACCATGCCTGTCTGAAATAAACTGTCTTAACTTAAATTACCCAATAATTGGCTTTTCTTCTTTTTCTTTTCTTTGGCACTGAACCCAGGGTCTTGCACATGCTAGACAAGAGATCTACAACTGATCTACACCCTCATCCCTGCCTAACAAATTTTTTCATGTACCATAGACTTGCATGATCACCCCCACCAAGATCAAGATCAACAGTCATGGTAGCACATGCCTGAAATCCCAGCGGCTTGGGAGGCTGAGAGAGGAGAACCTTTTTTTTTTAAAAAAAAATATTTATTTTGTGGTTTTTTAGGTGGACACAATCTCTTTATTTTATTTTTATGTGGTACTGAGAATTGAACCCAGTGCCTCATGCATGCTAGGCCAGCACGCTGCCACTTGAGCCACATCCCCAGCCCTGAGAGGAGAATCTTGAGTTCAAAGTCAGCCTCAGCAACTTCTAAGCACTAAGCAACTCAATGAGACCCTGTCTCTAAATCAAATACAAAATAGGTTGGGGATGTGACTCAGTGGTCGAGTACCCCTGAGTTCAATCCCCAGTAACAAAAAAAAAAAAAAAGAAGTCAAGATCAAGGATCTTTCCAGGATCCAGAACACTCTTTCTTGCTCTTCCCTGACACTACATCCCCAAGGTTAACTCCTATTTGACCTCTATCATGAATGAAACCATACTACATACACACAATACTACAATATAGTATTACATCTTTGTGTCTGATTTATTCTTCTTATCTGTGTCATCTATGTTGTTGCATGAAATATTATCTAATTATGTACATTATTCCATTATCTGTTCTACTATTAATAGACATTTGTTTCCAGTTTTTAGCCATTTTAAAGAAAGCTTTTGGGGCTGGGGATATGGCACAGTTGGTAGAGTGCTTGCCTCGTATGTACAAGGCCCTGGGTTCAATTCCAAGCAACACACACACACACACACACACACACACACACAAAGCTTCCATATGAACTTCTATATGTACTTCTATGTACTAATATACATAGAAGTCTTTTTGTAGACTTCTATCTACATTAGTACTTCTATGTACATTAGTACATAGAAGTCTATACAATTTTTTCCCCTGGTACTAGGATAGAACCCAGGGCCTGGCACATGCTAGGCAAGAGCTCTACTACCAAACTACATCCCCAATCTTTTTTTTTTTTTTTTTAGAGAGACAGGGGCTATGGAGAATGGTGGTATTTTTTGTTTGTTTGTTTTTTCTGGTACTGGTGATTGAGCCCAGAGGCACTTTATTGCTGAGCCACATCCCCAGACGCTTTTCTTTTTTTTCTTTAATATACAGGGTCTTACTAAGTTGCTGAGGCTGGACTGGAACAGGTCTGTGCCACCTCACCCAGCTGCTGTTGCTTGATTTAAAGGCACCAGGATTAGTAGCCCTATAGAACTATACTACCACTGGACCTGGGAGTAGGGGAAGGAAAGTGTTCAGAAGGTCATTAGTTGCTTTTCAAACAGGGCCTTCTTTGAGATTTTTTTCTTTTTTCTTTTTATGCAGTGCTGGAGATGAAACCTAGGGCCTCATGTATGCTAGGCAAGCAC